AAAATCTGAGGAACTAAGGTATATCATGTACATGCACAAGTTCTTCAGGTAAATGAGATCATTGTGTTCATCTACAATCTACCAATGACTTGAAAACAAGCCTAACATATTTTTACCCAAACTTTGTTTTCTGGAAATACTAGTTGGATTATTGTCAACAGCACAGGGATGAAAGACACATTGTGAAACAAACATACATTTGCTTTTAGTACAGAAAATAAATTAAATCCCACAAGAAGATTAGTTTGCACTAAAAGAGAAGAAAGCATAAGTCAAAAGAATTGTTGATCATGTGAATATTTTTAAATTAATGAAACTACTGAGATCATAACAAATAATATTCTGACTAAGACAGCACTCTTCGGATATATGGAGTGTAGTTATAGGAATTTAGTATGAAAGCTTTGTTTGAAGCACCATTACATAATGCTTTTATTTAAACCTTCAATTGGGTAAGGGTTACATAAATGGGAGGCCCAAACAGAGCAAGTGTCTTTTATAAATCTTAGAATTTATCTTGTGGTTGAGAAACAACAAAATAATTAGATGAATCATAAAATTAGCCTTTGGCATTGTCACATGTGGTGTTTCCACCCATACTAGGGATATAAAACACGCTCTGCAGGGAGGATTGCCAGACTCAAGTCACCTGCACTCCTCCTCTACCAAAGGACAACCTCAACAACCAACAGCACTATGTGTGGCAGCTACTACGGAGGCTACTATGGCGGCCGTGGCCACGGATGCTGTGGCTACGGAGGCCTGGGCTATGGCTACGGAGGCCTGGGCTGTGGCTATGGAGGCCTGGGCTGTGGCTATGGCTCCTGCTATGGCTCTGGCTTCCGCAACCTGGGCTGTGGCTATGGCTGTGGTTATGGCTATGGCTCCCGCTCTCTGTGTGGCTGTGGCTATGGATACGGCTCTGGCTATGGCTCTGGCTTTGGCTACTACTGAGGACTCCATTAGAGACTCACTGGAAATTCTACACCCATGACAGCAGAATTCAGCAGTTTCTGAAGCCCACATGTTCTGGTCTTTATGTCTAGATGGGTGATGATTTTACACAAAATTTTCCTGAGACATGCCCTCTGGGTCTGCCATCCTAAATTTATCCTTCATTGACTTACCCACTTTTCCTGTACATGATCGCATTGTTTCTCACTGATGGGATGTTAGCACGGACTCTGTCATCTCATTTTTATTCAGCAATATTTTCTCTATTTTCCCAATAAATTTATTCAATCTGAATTCTTTAAAAAAGCCTCTCTTTCATTTAAAACTTAGTATTTATTGTTTTGTTCTAATCAAATTAAATATTGTGACTCTTTTATTTGTAAAACTATGTATCCATGTATTTCTTAAAAAGGAATTTACGAAGACAAAAACATGGAGGATATAGTTCATGTTATCCTTGATTTGTGACATTAAAAAATAATACTTTTTTAAGGTTTAATTTTCTGTTCTGGTGAAGCAACAAAAACATGTTTAGTGAAGAATTGTTTTTACAATTAAAGGAAGTAAGATGTATCAATTTTGTTAACATGTGCCTGAAAACAATGTATTCCAAATGATGTTTAGCCAAAATTATTTCTTTTATTTTATGGAATACACAAGATTTCATAACAATATGTTAGAATCATCATACTTAATACATTGACTATTGTTATCATCGAAGTACTTGCTCAGAGTTAAAGATATGGGCATAAGCCATTCTTCAAACACTGGTAGCACAGTGTAAAACCGTTTTCAAAATATGACCGTTGACATGATTCTCTCTTTTTGTTTTTAATTCTGCATATTTTAAAAATGTATTTTCTATACTTGCCCCGAATAAGAGTGTCAGAAGTTTAAATTTACTTGGCTCCTGTCCTTTGCACACATATAGCAATTTTGAAACAGAGAATTCTTTTTTTTCTAAATCCATGCTGTGTGAAATTTTGGAGTAATTTGTGGCATTTAATATGTATGCTTTTAATGAGATTTCAAAATATCAATACAGTTGTAGAATATGTAGATATCATAGCATTTTATTATCAACTGAAAGGCAAAAATAAATCAATGCAGAAATCTAAATAAGTAATGACTTAATATTTTGCAAATTTGTAACAGAAATATGTAGTTGAGAGGTTGTAAATCCAATCAGAAGGAAATTGCTGAATGGAACTAGAGGTAAAAATCAAATTACACATAAATAATCCATTGCTATGGATTTCTCATAAAAATATAGAGCTCAAAAAGATTGGAAAACATAACTAAAGTCCTAATAAAACATACAAAATTCTACATCTAACAGTAATACACCTCAAAAAAAACATAAAATAAACTTTTTCTCTACTTAAAAACTAAAATAATTTGTGTCTACAATACTTCTCTAAATAAAATTCTAAGTAAAATTCTTCAGGCTAAAGGAAAATTATATTAGTGGCCAACTTGAAACTTAAGAAATAAAGACAAATCTATAAAAAATTATAAATTTTGGGGTAGATAAAACACACTTCCTTTTTCCTTTTAAGTTCTTAATAATTCATGTAACTGTAAACTAAATACTATTGAGTATTGAAAGCTATTTTACTATATTATCAATGACAAATATAACAAAAAGTGACAATTATAAAATGATTCCAAATTTGCAATGCTTTAGTTTTTTGGTGTTTTTGAAGCAGGGTTTTGTCATGCAGTTCAGGCTGCTCTTAAACTCACTTTGTAGCCTAGACTGGCCTCAAGCACACAGCATTCATTCTTCCTCACCCTCCCCAGTACTAGGATTACAGGTTTGTGCTTCTTTGCCAACTCTAACTGTTAGCTAATGTAGCAAAATACAAATCCTGAGAATATTGTGAAATTTTGATTTATCATATCATATCTCCATTACCCTCCAAAAATACAGAGATGTAGCAGAAGGTCATTAGCTAAATTAAAATTGAATATTAAAACTACTTAACTAAAAATAATTCAGGAAAGTCTCCACAGAGAAAACAGATTTATAAACCCGTGATGAAATTACATATTTAATTTAATCTTACCAATGATTATATAGAATGTAAATATCCCATATACACAAACATATGGATTGTCAAATTGGCCAATTAGAATTATCCATATATTGTTTATCAGGAAATTATTTCTAATAAAAATTGTCATATTAAATATAAGTAAATAAACTGAGAAACTTATCCTAAAAGATAATAAGTAAAATAATATGTAACTATTTAAGTATTGGAAAAATTACACTCAGGTTGTGAATAATTAGGAATGAGAAAAGATATCAAATATCAATCAAATATTAATATCAAAGCCTTACATCAATCAGAATGCATAAAAATTATCAATATGTAGGGGCCTAACATGTTGTTATGATGGATGAACTGTGTCACCTTGAGAAATCTAGGCCCTTCATTAAATAACTCAGCAGTTCTGCATCCTGGGGTGTAGAGAACAAGCCTTAGAACTCTAGAATGTTGCTTGTTGTGTCAACTTGAGAGGTTTAGACACTTAACCTAGTGACTCAGCAGGAGAGCAGGGTCCTCACTTTGTAAATACCCTCATCCTGTGCAAGAGGAGGGAGAGCACGGATATGGTGCAAGTGCCACAGCCCACAAGAGGAAAGAGGGAGGAGCCTGCTTACAATATAAGGGAGGAGAAGAGGCTTGGTCCCTCCTTTTGCTCTTGGTACTTTTGCTCCTGTTGTTTGTGCTTTCTTCTGCAAACTTATCCAGCTATCAGTTTGCAATCAATTGGCACCTTTTTATTTGGACTCTGTAATGGCAACATATAATTGCAGGAACAAATGGCAGAGTAAAAAGTGAGAGAAAAGGGAGAAACTGAAGTCCAAAAATGTCCTTCAAAGGAAGCCCTAGTGACTGAAGTCCATACTCTATCCCTTGAATTTACACCACTCCCAGCAGTATTACTGAGGACCAAGCCCTTAAGGGTTTGGACCACTCTGGGACACTTAAGATTTGAACTGCAGCTTTCTGTTTCTGCACCATAAAGTTTCACTGCAGAATGTAGGTAGACCATCCTCCAAATTCTGAAGTGTTTTGTGACAGAATGTCAGTAGCCATTATATCACTGAAACATCTTTTCTTTCCAACATTTTTTCAGGACTAATAAATCTTTCCCATGATTTAACCACAATTTCATTTTATTTTTCTGTATTTTAGGGAAGGGTCTACAAGGTATTCAGGTTCTCACTATTAGATCAGACTCGTAGTGATCCACCTGTTTACAGTCTACCAAGTTCTAGGATTACAGGCAAGTGCCACCATGCCCAGTCTCAATCGCCATCTCAGTGCACTCCGGGGACAGGGCCAGCATGGCAGGCTTGAGGATCGAACCCCTGCCCCTACACCTGCTTGCAGGGGCTTTAATCTGCTGAGCTACTTGGCTAGCCCTAAAATTTCAAAATATAGTCTTAGATTATATATTAATTCTATTATTGTAAACAACATGCCAAACAATGTTTAAAATGATATAAATACTACTTGATTGACAGCAGCATAGTACCTATTACTTCATCAGAAGGAGAGTAGAAAAAATGAAGCTTATAGAAAAAGGCTTACATTTCTAACATAAATGAACTTTGAACCAGCAAAGAAATCAGTCTAGGAAAGTAGGGGAAAATATCTTCCAAAGAAGTTTAGCTGCTGTATTTTCTGAAAATCAAAATTAAAAAATAAGACTAGTATGAAATGAATGACCAGAAATCTTTATAGATTGAAGTTTATTTGGTCAAAAACAACAAGTTCCATTGTGAAAGTTATCAAGGCAGTTGTTCAAAAGCCATCACCCTGAGGAGACCAGAGCTGTGAAGTCTCAGAAGAATGTCACTTGCTCAGACTCCTTCAGGAGGCAATGAGGATTCAAAACAATCACAGCAGCCCACACAGACTCTCATTGCAAGATCACCTTCATGCAACTATGAGGCTTAGGCATGCAGGATCAGAACTGATGAATCTTGATGTCACAGCTGCAGACAATGAGTGTCTCTGATGGAGTCCTCAATAGTAGTAGCCAAAGCCAGAGCCATAGCCAGAGCCGTATCCATAGCCACAGCCACACAGAGAGCGGGAGCCATAGCCATAGCCACAGCCATAGCCGCAGCCCAGGTTGCGGAAGCCAGAGCCATAGCAGGAGCCATAGCCACAGCCCAGGCCTCCATAGCCACAGCCCAGGCCTCCGTAGCCATAGCCCAGGCCTCTGTAGCCACAGCATCCATAGCCGCGGCCGCCATAGTAGCTTCCGTAGTAGCTGCCACACATGATGTTGGTTGTTGAGGTTGTCCTTTGGTAGAGGAGGAGTGCAGGTGACTTGAGTCTGGCAATCCTCCCTGCCATGGGCTTTTTATACCCTGGAGTGGGTGAGACCCACAACATGTACTCATGCTATTTGTTAATTTTATGACTCAATTAATTCTTTTGTTGTTTCTTGACCATAAGATAAAGCCTTGGAGTTATTGAGGAAGCTTGTGCCTCTTGTCCAATCAGGTCTGTTCTAAAATAATTTAGTACCCATAGTCAGTAAGATGCTCACTGCAGGTTAATTTTAACTTCTGTAAGTATACATTGTTCATGTAGGTGGCATTTAGTGCAAACCAATTTAGACTTCAACACACCAAAGCATTTATCTATGCTCATTGGCTTCACTTCCAAAACTAGCCACTTTAACCAATATATTTTATCTACTATTGTTTTTCAAAACACCTTTTATATATTTCAGTTGCCTCACCACCTTGAAAACATTCAATATAGACCACTGCTACATCATTCTTCTATGTAATAACATTAACATAGAGATGAATTATTAAAATTTTGTAGACTACCAGCCTAGACAAATATATCTATGATTTTTTTTATTCAAACATCTTTGTTATTTTTGTACTCTCAATTGTTATTCAATAGGCTAAAATTAGGCTCTTTCACAAAATTTTTATTGTAATTTCACATATTATTCATTGATTATGAAGTTTGACATTTATTTTTATACTCAGTGTGTGCTTTAAATGTTGTGATAGTATTTTTATGTTTATTTTTTCTTTGTTCTAATTTTCTTTTTGTTGTTCTTTTTTCTACCCTAGTGGTAAACATATTACAGCATATGGACCTACACTGACCCGTCTTTGTCACCTATTGTACACAATTTACCTTAATGCTTACTTTTTGTGTTATTCTTCTACGGCTTTGAAAAATCTTTAATCACATGTACCAATAATAGTGGTGTAAAGAGCAGTTCACCACCATAAAAATCTTTTTATTCTATTTATATACTGCATCTATTAAGAAAAAAATCTTTGTTCTTCTATTTAAAAATGATGCACTGATATATAATCAGTGCTTAAATATCTCCTGTGGAAACTTAAGGGACAGCAAAAAAGTCTTTTCCTTTCTTTCTTTCTTTCTTTCTTTCTTTCTTTCTTTCTTTCTTTCTTTCTTTCTTTCTTTCTTTCTTTTCTTTCAGAACCGGGGATTGAACTCAGACCCTTGCACTTGCAAGGGAAGTGCTTATTCTACTGAGCCATCTCCCCAGCCCCCAAAAGTCTTTTCTTAAGAAAATTCTTTTTAATTCCTCAAGATGTTTCCTCATTTCAGTGTTTCTGTTATAGAAAATTTCTGCAATTTACATTTGACATTTCTGCTCTATTCCCTTTTCATCTTTCAAGTATTTGGACTTTTGAAATCCTACCCCAATAAAGATGATCCTGGCAAGTTTTACACAAGCCACGTACAGTGTGTTCATGCCTCTTCATTTTACTGCTGTTGTGAAATAAAATTCAGGTCAGTTAAGCTGTTTCTTTCATGACAGATTGTCCCTAGTAACACTACATCACTGAAACATCTTTTACTTCCACTTTTTTGGCAGGTTTCATAAAATTTTATGCAACTTAACCTCAATTTTAAAGTATGTTCTTAGCTTTCATGTTGATTTATTTCCATTCTCATTATTGCATATTTCACTCTTCATAATGGACAATTTAATTTTATCTTTACTACATCAGAAATTTAACAACAGAAAGATAGATTTTAAGATTCTTCATAACACTGAATGTTTTCTCTTTGGATGTCACAACATTACCTCATAGCCTTTCCTTTGTGTATGTCCTTAGACTTCCATTGTCCTTAGAATCAATGTTCTCCCTAGTTTCCTGCCATCATCTGCTACTGCCTTCCAGGTTGTCATACCCCAAATACAGTGTTTTTCCAGCAGTGCAGACTGAACAAATTGTGTCCTTTGGAAATCCTTAGACTTTGTCCTGTAAATAACTCATTCCAAAACCAGAACTAATATGGCTGTTTTTCCTCATTCATCTATCTAAGTGTCATGTGCATATATCCTCTGAACACTTGATTTAATATTAACTTTTCCAAGTCATGGTTTGAGTTATTTAACTCAGTGGTTTATAATCATTCCACAAATTCTTATCAGTATCACAAAGTGTTTAGCTCAGTACTCACCTGCCTGTTATCTGTCTCTCCATTTTACCTCAATCAAGACACATGTAGTTAAAGACACTGTGGAATATATACATAATGCAAGACTGAACAATGATAAAGAAGGATAAATTTGAGACATTTGTAAGAAAGTAGTCTCCCCTGGAAAATGTAATTTTGAGTAAAAATAAATCAGACACTTAAGTTTAAATAATGTATTGTATCTCTCATCTGAATTAGGCAAAGTACAAACAATAAGTGAAATGAAG